CCGCCCTCCGTCCCTCACCTGCCTGGGGGAACCCTCGGGGCTTTGCTCCCTCCTGCCTTCGCCCCGGCCGATGGGGGGGCGTTACCCGCCTGCCCTCAGCGCCTTTGCCCGACCTCTCTTGGCCCTTCCCACCTAGGCCGTTCCATGATTCCGTGATTTTTACCTGCCCTTGCGCCACCTTCCCCAGGAGCTGACCTCTGTGTGTGCTTGCAGGTGTGGGAAAATCTTCGCTTGTTCACCTCTTGTGCCAAAACGAGGTGTTGGGAAACCCGTCCTGGACCGTGGGCTGCTCAGTGGATGTTCGAGTAGGTGATGGGCCCGACCTCCTCTAGGTAGCCCCGAAGTGTAAAGGAAGGGCCTTGATATTTTTGATTCTCAGAGCTTACCGCCCTAGAAAGTGGTGTGTTCCAATGCTTTGGTTTGCTGAGAGGTTAATCTTTTAAGCTTTAAATGTGAGCCAGGCACCTCTACGAGCAGGTTTTGACCTTACGAGGTTTTTGAAGTCAGGCAAGGTATTTATTGTTAATGGAGCTGCCAGTTGAAGTCAGAAGGCGCAAAATTTGAACCACCCGTCTTTGAGAAATAATTAATACTAAATTCTCAGCCAGACATTTTGGGAAAAAAAGCTTGTTTAATTTGAAGGTACTGACCATAACTGTAGGGTTGCTTCTATTCCCATCATATTGTTGCAGCACCTACTATCAGAGCAATGAGACTATTAATCTAGCAGGTTTTTGATACAACTTAGAGGCCTCATGGGACAGTGCTAAATGCTTTTTTCCTTGATCACTCGTTGCTGCATTGTCCTTGAAATGCTTTGCTATAGGTTAGGAATACAGCTCAAAAATTTGGGGAAATAAACATGGCAGTCGTGTTTGACTGTGGAGCAAAACTACTAGCAGTTTCGGGGGCAAAAATTGTTGACTGATTAATTCAGTTGAGATGTCAGTGAGAATATGTAGAGGAAAAAAGATGTGGTCAGCCATGTTAATATTCTTTCGTTATTACCATGTGGGTTTTAACAACTGTAAGAAGCCATGACCTTACTTTTTCATCTGCTTTAGCTATATGCTGTTTCTAAGCACATCATGAGGCATTAGTTTGTTAATCCTGAAGTGGAATATGCCTCACCAAGTGCCAGTTCATGTGAGAGCTGTGGTATCCAGTGGCCACTGCTTGACTTCCCATCTCTTACTTGAGAGATTTGAAATGGTGTCAATACAAGAACTAAAAAAATTCTATCCAAGTACAATAATCCTTTCAGTTGAATGTGTAAGTGTTGTGTGGATTAACTCTTGTGAGCTGGTGCTGTGGTTACATATGATGTGAATTTTTCTTCAGATCCACGACTACAAAGAAGGAACTCCAGAAGAGAAGACCTACTACATTGAACTGTGGGATGTCGGAGGTTCGGTGGGTAGTGCCACTAGCGTGAAAAGCACACGAGCAGTGTTTTATAACTTGCTGAACGGTAAGTTTGCTTGATGTAAATCTGGATTTGTCACTGTTCTGTTGTGAGCTGTCTCTTGGTTCTGGGGCAGGATTCCTCTGAGTCTGGCTGAGAGATACATATATTTTCTGTACAGGAAAAAACTTATGCCATTCATGGACAGAATTTTATAGATTCAGTTTTGAATTTTGCAGTGGTGACCCTTCTAGCTGCACTTGCAGACATACAGGTTGTCTTCACTTTTCCATGCCTGATACATGTGCAGAAATATGTTTTATATTTGCCTGTGTGTTCCATTCCAAAACCTACAACAGGAGACTTTATATGAACTTCTATAGTTATATCCTACCCTGGAAAACATGAGCTGTTCTCCCATAATAAGTTGATAACCGTCTTGCCTTTGCTCATTTAATTTGCCAAATTATTTTTAAGAATTGAATCTTGTAACTTGCTCTGTATAGAAAGTAATGTTTTATGCTTTCTGTTGAGATGCTAACTTTTAGGCCTAGCAGTTCATCTGTACCACTAATAAAAGCAAATAAGAGATTATAGACTTAACAATGCAGTATTTCAGTTGTTACTTTTTGGTATCCAAGGATAGTTCAGTAAAAATAGACATTTACCACACTAACAACTAACTGCTTCTGAAAATCTATCTCAAATGTTCTGTTTGATTCTCTTTTCTTGTTCCCAGTTATTTGAGGGCAATTCAATAATGTATTAAGCCATGCAATAAACATTTTTACTCCGTGATTATTTAAACAGTTATTTCTTCCTCCTTTCTCAGGAGGAAAACTGTGTTGTAGGTACCTCTAGCTTATATTGTTAACCAGACCTCTGTCAAGAAATTTTGAGCAGAGCTGCACCTTTGAAGCATGTCTCTTTGTTATATGAAAAAATTGATTTCTTTTTGACACCAAATCCACAGTAGGCCAATGAGTGTGGGTCAGACTTGGAAATATGCTAGAACAGCCCATTAGGGGATGAAATCTTGAACTTATAATCAATGACATCATTAAAATGAGTTATTTATCTCCTCTGCCCAAAATACATTATTAGACAGCTTGCATATGAAAACTGTTGACTTTGGTAGTTAGCCCTGCCTCTGGTTTCTTTCATTAGATTAATTACTTCATTAGAGCTTGTCTCACAAATTGCCTCTGTTTGACCTGGTGTAAGAAGAGAAGATGAATGTGTTCCTTCTGCCTCACTGCTTGTGCTTTCTGGGCTTGCAGTGGTGTGAAAACCTGAGATCAGAAGACGTTTAATGTTTGGTTGTGGTAGCATCTGTGCAGGCTGTCGGGGATACCTGGTTGTTGACAAGGTTGGGTACAGTTTGCTTTTGGTTTGACGGCAGATCTTCTGTTTTGGTGACCTTGCATCTGTTGTGTGGGCTGTGATAGTCCAGGACAGTGACTAGGCAGTAAGGCTGAGGCTTGCAGACCTTCATGGGGGAGGAACATTTCCTTGAGTAGTCATTGGTCCTGCCTGCTCTTTTTTTGATGTTGACACAGTCTTTTTCTGCTAATGCAACTGACTGCAGGTTTTCAGTGACACTGGTAAGGGAACTGACCGATCAAAAACCTGACTGAGGAAGTGTCTGGAGGTGGAGAGTGTTTCTCGCAGATTATGCAGCAGTGCTTCTGAATCTGTTGCTGTAGGGCAAGTTGTGTTGTATCAGGCTTTTTTCTTCCCACGCTGGGGGTGGACACGCAGTTGAGTTGCCTTTTGATGCTGTTGCTGAGATAAATGCTTTGAAATAGAGCTATGGTTGTGTTATGCTGAGAACTCTCATAGGGGAGTCATGTCATGTGGTGGAAAATGTTTGTGGAAATGTGGTTCGTTTGTAGTGTGTACAGTGGGTAGCACCTTTGGGAGTTAAGGTGAACGATAAAGTTAGTAAGTTTTCTCCACCTGTAGGCTGTGAAGTGTGTTGAGAATGAATCCTGGTGAAGATAAGGGGTATGGTTTCATTTTGTCCTTGAATATGGTTTGAAGTCTGGAGGAAGTGGGAACATTCCACAGGTTGCAGAAGGTGTGAATAAATAAAAGAAATTTGCTAGCAGGAGTTGGTAATTGAGTTAGGAACTGTGGTTATCAGAAGTGGGTGTCTGTTATAATAGCACAGCTAGGAAGTTTGGCTGGCTGGCTGTTTTTCTGTCTCAGAATTTACATTGTGAAGGATCATGGTAATGAAAAGTGCTAGAAGCTTAATTTTAAATATGTGAAATCTTATTAATTCACATTTCTACCAGCCATTTGTTGGACTGTAAAAGTTTATCAGAGTCTGTTTCCCCTTTGGATAGCTCCCCAAGTGTGTAGCACTAGTTCTTGAAAATGCAGGAAAGCAAAAGTGCTCTGTAAACTCTTTGAAACAAAGAAACAGTGTTTGGACTTAGGTGGTGTGACAAAAAGGTAGTTAAGTTTACCAGTTACAACAGAGAATGGCTAAATTCTCAGCTGCAGTAATACAGAGGTGTGGTATCGTTAGTATTAGACAGAGCAGAATCAGGAAATGCCTGCAAGGCTTTAACGGATTACACTCTGAGATGGCTGTTTGTTTCCTCCTTTCATGAGATTTTTCTCTTAGCTCTTACCCAGTTATTGATAAGCAGCCTTGAGAAACCTGCTGCATCCTGATATTTTCAGCTTTATTCATTCACTGTAACTGAACCGGTTATACATCCCTTTCTTCTTCTCAGATGTCTGGGAACATGCAGATGTCATTTTGGTAAGATAAGGCAAAAATAAGTATCATTAAATAGCATCTTGCTGCCTTCTCTTTCACTTTAGGGATAATTTTGGTGCATGACTTAACCAATAAGAAATCATCTCAGAATTTATATCGCTGGTCTTTGGAAGCACTCAACAGAGATGTCACTCCAACAGGAGTTCTTGTTACAAATGGGTGAGTGAAAAACATACGTAAGGGTTAAGACGGAATAATTCCAAGCTGTTATGGAAGTCTTTGTTCATCCCTAAGACTACTTGAAGTCCACATCAAATTAGATGTGGCTAGACATTTTAGAAAGAAAGAAAGAAAGAAAGAAAGAAAAAAAATGAGGGATATCAAAGAAAATCACTGTTCTTTTTGTTTTACGCTGCCATTTGGGCCATTCTGCCAGTAGATTCCCAGACTGAATGGCAGAGATCTTGCTTTAAGGGAAATGTTTATTGTGTCCTTCATTTGTCTCAGGCCTTAGTGAGACTGGGCCTGAAAATTTGTGTGTCTCTGCTGAGACATGCAAGGCCCTTGTAGACAAAGTGTTGTGAAATGGCATGTCTCTGTTCCAAAAGGCTTTCTCTCCATGCACCAAAACTGAGGAATTGGTCTTATTTATTTTATTTTGGGTGGCGGGGGAATTATTTTAGGAGCGTGGCTAAAAAAGTGCTTAGAAGACTCTGCTTTAAACAACATTCTAACATCTTGTCAAGTATTTTCTCCTGTACCTTTGTGCTCCTGTTTTAACATCGTTAATAAACCTCACACATGAGCAGGGAAGCAATAACAAGGGGCAGCTTTTTATGGGAAGAATATTGATTGTCTGTCTGTGCTGGTACCACAGGCGTTTCTCCAGAAACGTGGGAGAAGGGACAGGGCATTTGCATTACATAAATTGCAAATTTCTTCTGTTTTTCCACATAAGATTCTTCACAATTGTCTTAATTTTCAAAAGCTTAACTTCTGTCAGGGACAGATGCGCAGCCACTAGCAAGTGCTTGGTCAAGCTGTTGCTGTTGGTTGTAAATTTACTTTCCAGAAAGCTTGGTATAGGTAGAAATGGAAGAGATTATCCTAGCTGAGGAGAATGATTGGAGCTTGGATTTGTGAGGACATTTAATTGCAGTATTATTTATTTTATAAAGGCTGTCTTTGATCATTATTTGTACCTGAATCAAAGCTTGATGGAATTCAGCTTACAGTGACTACCTTTACGTGAATACAGAAGAATTAGTAATTTGACATTACACAATTGTTATCACAGCCCTTTTTGACCTAATTTGGAAAGAGGTGGTGTTTCACAGATGCATTTGATTTCATTGTCTCTCCTTAAAAAGTAGGAACTTCACATGTTCACAGATGCCAGCTCCCCAGTGTGTCTCAGGTGGCTGCATATGCTTGGTACAATACTGGAATCCCTGTTCCTTTCCTGCCTGTGTTAGCATTTCTTCTGTAGTTCATCTATGCTGGCTAGAAATCCAAGTCGTGGTTTCTTTTTTCTTTAATTTGGACAGCAGGATGACCATGAGCCAAATCGTGGCCAAGAAGGCCAATGGCATCCTGGGCTGTACTAGAAAGGGAGGAGCTAGTAGGTCGACAGAGATCCTCCTGCCCTTCTACTCTGCCCTGGTGAGGCCACATCTGGAATATTGTGTCCAGTTCTGGGCCCCTCAGCTCAAGAGAGACAGGGAACTGCTTGAGAGAGTCCAGCGCAGAGCCACAAAGGTGATGAAGGGAGTGGAACATCTCCCTTATGAGGAAAGGCTGAAGGAGCTGGGTCTCTTTAGCTTGGAGAAGAGGAGGCTGAGGGGTGACCTCATAAATGTTTATAAATACGTCAAGGGGGAGTGTCGGGAGGACGGAGCCAGGCTCTTTTCAGCGATGTCCGCTGACAGGACAAGGGGCAATGGATACAAGCTGAAACATAGGAGGTTCCACATAAACATTAGGAAAAACCTTTTCACTGTGAGGGTGACAGAGCACTGGCACAGGCTGCCCAGGGAGGTTGTGGAGTCTCCTTCTCTGGAGACATTCAAAACCTGCCTGGGCACGTTCCTGTGTGACCGACTGTAGGTGATCCTGCTCTGGCAGGCGGGTTGGACTAGATGATCTTTTGCGGTCCCTTCCAACCCCTGACACTCTGTGATTCTGTGATTCTTCCAATTTCTGTGTAGTGACTTAGATGCAGAAACCCTTCCTTAATTTCCAGATAGAGCACATTCTCACTTAGATAAATAATGACCATTAATAAAAAAATTACCATCGTTCAAAAGGAACAGGGGAGCTGATCGCATGTCAAGCACTTTATTCAAGATTGTGTTTGTTTCCCTCCTCAGTGACTATGACCGTGAACAGTTTGCTGATAACCAGATTCCACTGCTGGTAATAGGAACTAAGTTGGATCAGATCCCAGAAGCTAAGCGAAATGAAGTTTTGACCAGAACAGCTTTCTTGGCTGAGGATTTCAATGCTGAAGAGATAAATTTGGTGAGTATCTTTGTCACTGGTGTTGTTTTTCTTTTATATAGGAATGAATCACATTTTTGTAAGTAAAGGTGTTGTGACAAAAATTGGGCTTTTGGAGATTTTCTCAGTAATGATGGAGTCATGCACGTTTTGATGGGCCATCCTCTTTGCCTGTTAAAATGATCATCTTTGTTTCACTGCAGGGAGGTATAGGCGGTGTTAGATAAGGTAACTGAAGCTTAGAATTGATGGTTGGGAGTTAAGTTTTCTCTTCCCTATTGATAGGTCTGACACCAACTGTACTTGAATGAAGCATCAAGACCACTTTATCTATATAATGTGTATATATATGTATAAAAATGCATGTGTGCTGTGTGAACATGTGTGTGTGTGTGTGTGTATGTATTACCAATCTCATGTATAGCCTGTACCAATTACTAGCTGACTGTATAACGGGTGGCAGAAGGAAGACGCGGAGCACATAGCAGGGCACTTAGAATTAGCTGGTTGTTTCACAGAACAGAAGTTGGCCTTTACTCTCAGATCCCTGTGGGGCAAAAATCAGCAGATAGGCTGTACTTTCCCTAGCTGATTGCATGCATCTGGGAAAGGGTGTGTTGATTTCCATGTATATAGCTACCTTGCATTGATTTCTTTGTGCTTGGTTTGTCGTTGTCTTTTGTGTCTTCTAGGATTGCACCAATCCTCGTTACCTGGCTGCAGGTTCATCCAATGCTGTCAAACTAAGCAGGTTTTTTGATAAGGTAAGTCGAGTCAAATTATGGTTTATTGTTCTATGTATCGAATGCTGTCTGTGATTTGAATGTGGAATAACAGTTAGCTGCTCGTTTCACATTACACTTTTTGAAGTTGTTCAGGCCAGGTGTGGGGAAGCTGAAGATCAGTCTACTTTTGGAAATCTCTAGAAAACAACTGATCTACTTAAAGATTTAATTCGTGATCGGCACAGAGCAATGGAAAAGAACTCACACATGTGCAAAGAGGCTCTGCGTACGCTTTTGGAGTCCTTTGTCAGGCCAGAGGGTTTCCAGTGTGCTAAGGCAGTAATGTGGGGAGCTACAAGACTATGGTTAGCTCTCTTGATCCTGATTAAAACAAATTTTAGGAGTTAAGAAATTTGCCATATTACTTTCCTTTCCTGCAAAGAGAGCATCAAGGCCTACTGTGAAAATGACAGAAGGAATGCTCTGGTTTAACCGTCCCCTGGACAAAGATACTGTAGTAGAGCAGATCACCTCCTGTAACAGATAATGCTTCAGAGGAAATCTGGCCTGAATTTTCTCTGGAGGAGAGTATAGATTGTGCACAGTGATACAAATCAGTTTTTCATTCTTAGGTTGATGATACTGCCTCTGTGGGCATCTTTCATTCTCAGAGAGTGAGTCAGGCTGCCTCTTCTCCAGCATCACCTATGCCCAGGGGTTACTCACACCCTCAGGAATTGTTATGCACCTGCTCAGAACGGCTGCACCTGCAGAGAGGGGTGGGAATAACTGACTCTGCTGCAATAGGGTGACATCCAAACCATCACCTCTGTTACTAACTAAATGAGGTGTGTGTAATTTGAGGATAACAGCTTTAATAAGAATGGCTGGAGGTGGCAACTCCTTCTGTGCATGATAGAGCATTGCACTTAAAGCAACAGGCCTGGAGCAGGGGGTGTGGGTTCAGACCATGTCCCAGTTAGCCGTGAGTTTCAGTGCTCACGTGTGATTGGAATCTGAGGTTTACACGTATGCTGTTCCAACTAAGATCATTCTCTGTTTTTCCCAGGTCATAGAGAAGAGATACTTCTTAAGAGATGGCAATCAGGTTTGTCATTTTTCCTCCTTTTTTGTTTTGTTGCTCCCTATGGAATGTGAACTGCTGACAGAGTCCTTTAAAACGTGGATGTTGTGTGACTTGAATGATCATCTGTGCTGGTAATTGAGTTTTTAGATCTGTGGGAGCACAGCTGCTTTGGATAGGCAGAAAAATGCCTCACTTGTGTCAGCTGCAATATTTGTCTGTAATGTGATTGACATTGAAATAATTAGTATTCTAACATAGCAGAAGTTGCAAGAATGAGGTAAAATGGGCAGATCTTGTCTCTTTCAGATCTGTCAGCTTCAAGCTGCTTGATTGCAGATTTAGGCCAGAGATGCTCCTGATGGACAAAAAGCCTTTTTTTCCACAGCTGGAGCTAGCATTTTGTGTTTTGTACGGGTAGCTTTCGTGGAACCAGTAGAGCCACAAGTAAAATGACAGGATGATACCACCATGTAATTCATTCCTAAATGGCTGAACTAGCCATTTTCAGGACACTTAGTGAAAATTAGCAAAATGGCTCTCATGATTTGGGCAGGCCACTTCAACTTCTTGTGCCCCCCTCCTTCCCATGCACAGTCTACCATGCAGGGAGTAGCGAGGTTCCACTGACTGTGTCTGTGAGGCACCTGCAAACTACTGTGACCAGCACCACTGAAATACAATCAAATGCATCGTTAGACATAGCTGTGCTGAAAGCTCCTTAGGAAGAGTGGGGAAAAAATTAGTCACAAATTACAAAATCCTTTCTTTGAGTGTTTCTTTATGCCTTTTAAAAATAAATTTGCTTTTTCCTCTTTTGGTTCTGCATCATGCCTTTTTTCCTCCTCTCTCCCCACCTCCCCACGTTCTAGTAAAAGGAAGTCTCCCTTTCATGGGGATAATAATGCAGAGATCTGCTTCTGTGCTGGTTGTTTTTGATGCATGATGTAAGATTTTTATTTTTCTTATTTGATCATTTATTTTTGTGGCTAGCCAGAGATTAACTTTATATTTCTTATGACTGCCTGCCAAAGATTACAGCCTGCTGCTGACTGCTTTCATCTGCCTAACTGGCAACTGCTTAGAAGCTTGAAACAAATCTTTAGTGCACAATGATATTTAAAGAGTCAAAATCCAAATTGGAACTGGAGATTTCAATACAGTCTCTTAATGTTGTTATTTGAAATTACCTACTTAATGTAAACCTCACCAATGTGTTTGTGGATTTTCTACAATAGGTCTCTTCGATCATTCGTGTTTTGAGGTATTTCTGTTATAGACTTCTTCAGGAATAAAAGAATGATAAGTTTCAAATTTTTGTAGCTATGACTTTGATCAGATCTCAGATAAATAATTGTTACTCTTAATTAGTGACTTTGATATAGAAAATGCTAAAGCAGGTAAGTTTTTACCTGTGCCATCCTCCAACTTTTTTAGTTATAATGATTGCCTTTTTGCTTTTTGAATTCCCAAAGCAGTTTTCATGGGATGAACCTCTGTGCAAAATCTTGATGATTTTTTCTAAAGTAATGATTGCTTTTCAGAGATGAACAAAACAATTCTGGAATGAATACCTTGTGTAACTAATTGAGTTTTGAGCCTAAAAACCCTAACTAAATTTAAATTGGGGGGGTTTGGTGGACTTTTTCGGGAGGAAAGCTCTCTTAGCTTTCTCGGTTTACCGTTCAGGTGGGTAACCTAAGCAGTCTCCTTTGTGCTGTAAATTACATTTTTGTCCCGTACCACCTACACATGCCCATATTCTCCTGGCACGGTTTGTAGTTGTGGTGGGTTAGGCCTGGGCCGGCCACTAAAACACAGACAGATGCTCTCTAA